GGGTCTGCGGAACTAACCGCAGGCAGCTATCACGAAGCGAGGTCACACAGTATTCAAAACAATCTCTTCTTGCCTAAAGCCTAAGACATAACGGACGCAAAATGCCTCCCCTCTCAGGCCTACCAATGTCCAATTTTCCTTCCACAGCCGTTCTGCTTCTAAGCTTTTCTGCGACTTCTATAAATTTATCCTGCAGAGCACCCAGCTCTCTCGACCTCTCTGACCTTCATTCTCAGCCCAGTAGCTTCATATAGCGTATTTAACTTTTACTTGATTTAACTAACATATAGTTAATATAATAAAATGCAGAGTACAATAAAACACTAAATTAAGACTTGCGTTAAAACTGAACTTTTTAAAGTATCCGATAGGGTTAGAGATAACCTTAGAAATTAAACTTTTAAAATAACCAAATGAATAATTACTTACCCAAGAATAACTTCCTACTGAATCATGTTTAAATAAAATAAAGCGAAGTTGCTCTTTTGGAGGCCAAAAAACCCACAAAAAACCCTCTCATAGCAGGGTACTGCTGGACTGGGGAGAAAAAGTGGAAAACGTCCTTCGGGCCCCGACTGGTGACCGGGCAAAGCTCAGGAGCAGCTGTTCCTTTCTGAGTTAACATTAACAATATTAGATATTACCCCCCACGGGGGTCTGATGGGAAGGTACGCGGACAGAAACGCCACACACGCGACACCCGCAGCTGTCGGTAACACTCGCACTGTTTACTAACAAACACAGACAAGCACTCACGCCGACCGAAAAGAAAAATGTAACAACAACCACCCACGTAACCCTACTGACACACAAACAGTCAAATATACTTCCAAATAATTCCTATCAACCGCTTTTACAGGCGCACAACAGAAGTGCACACAGCGTCTACACCACTCCCTGACAGTGCAGCAATCCCAGCAGCCTCTATACAAGACATACACAGGGCTTTGTTAAAAAAAAAAATATATATATATGGCCTTGTGCCTACACTGGATCAGCAGCTATAAAATATGGATGGATATTCTTGAACATGTGTGCTTATGTAATGGACGAGTGATGAACATGTGTGCTTATGCAACAGTCGTTGTGTTCAGTTAAGTTCTAAAACTGTAACTTAAGTGGACAGGATGGAAGAGCAGGGTATGCTCTGGTTTTCGATCCTTCTTCTTGGGTTTGAATGTAAAAACAAAATAAAAAAAAAAATTTGAATGCTTTTCTAAAAATACCTGGCAATCTACTTGTTTTCCCCATCGCTGTATGTCTTTTATAGGTATATTTTAACCCTGCTACACTCACTGAAAAGTGAACTTTATAGAGCTCTGGTTTAACTTCCCCCTCAGCACCTGCAGTGAGTCCCAGCTGCAGCAGTGCAGTCACTGTGCAGCCTGACTGAGGGAGGTTTTTGTACGGCTCTGTA